ACCTAAGTTGTTGATTTTCTTATCCCACCAGTTTAGAAAGAATATGACCCTTACTCTGAATTCTTTTTCTGACATATTGCATTTCTCTATTTCATTTAGTTCCTTTTCTGGTGTCCCCTCCTTTTTTTCCTTTGGGGATTGTTTCTTTGTCTCCCCATTTTTATGTCTTTTTTTGGCCCTAGGCTTCCTGCTTGGGATCTGAGGTGTTGAAGCCCCTAGAGGTTCAATGACCTAAGACTGGCTAGACTGTAGGCTGGGTCTGTCATGAGTTTTACATCTTTATTGTCTCTACTCTGAGTTGTACCTCCATCTCTCCCATTTCTGGTCCCTTAGTTGTCTACTTCAGTATCTTGGGGCCAGTGGGCATGCATGCACAATTCCTTTGGTGTGTGATTACCTGTGAGGGCCTAGAGCCCTTTGGCAATCAATTCACTGTGTGGCCCCAGAACCCAAGGCATGATGGCACCCTAGGTACCTCTGTCAGCATATATGCAACATGGTCCTCTGACAAGTGGCTGGGCTCACCAAGTTGCACCAGTAGCTCTGACTTCAGCCAGGGGTATGGCATGCACCAGGTGACAGCTCTGTCTGTGTGGTGGGAAGGGGGAGGCAGAACTTGCACTAGCCCAAAGATTATGACTAAGCTGGGGGCAGAGCTTGTGGCCTGCTTGGAGTCTCACCAAGGGGTACAGTTGCCAAGTTGCATGGGGCTTGTGTCTGGCTTGGCAGAGCAAGGGGGAAGCGCACTCCAGGGCTCACAGGAGCCTGCAGCCAGGAAGTCTAGAGTCCCAGATTCTGTGAGTCTGCAGATGAGGTAGCAGATCTTTGGCTGCAGGGTCAAGGATGCTGTCTGAGGCCAGTCTTGGTGGAGATGAGGCTAGTATCCTAGTAATAGCAGTTCTTCCCTTCAAGATGGCATGGTTTCTGTGTCAGAGCCAGCCATCAGGGAGTGCTTACAGTGGTAGCAGGGTCTCCCAATCTAGGAGAACCTGGTGTGCCAGCCTCAGAGACTCCTGTGGGATCTCTCTCTCTATCTCTCTCTCTCTCTCTCTCTCTCTCTCTCTCTCTCTCTCTCACACACACACACACACACACACCACACGCATCCACATATTCCCCTTTCGTTCCCTCTCCCCCTCACACTCTTCCCCTCACTGTCATCATGTTGGCTGCCATCTTCAAATACTCCCATCAGCCAATGTTTTAGAGAGGTAATTGAATGTATTGTCTGTGCTTTGTTGAGTAGAAGTTGGTTAAGAGAGTTTTTCCATCCTTGCTCATTAACAAAATAAATCTAGATATGTGTAGAATAAAAAATTAAAGTTCCCTTTTATCTATCCTTTCTGCAGGGAAAATGCACTTAATATTTGGAATGTATCAGTCCAGACTCTTCTATGCATTTATCTTTACATGTCCATGCCTTAAGTTATATGATTTGCCAGGCACTGTACTAAGACCTTGATGTGAATTATCTTGTTTAACCCCCACAATACCTTTATGAGAATACTACTGTTGTCATTCTACAGATTCATAAATCTAGGCTCAGAAAGGTTCAGTAAATTACTCTAGGCCACAGAGTGACTAATTTGTTCTTCCTCCTGAAAAAATTGTCTTAATTAATGTATATTAATCAAGTTAAATATATGGATCCATTATTTCTTTTTAAAAATATGTTTTTATTGATTGTTAGAAAGAGATGAAGGGAGAGGAAGAGAGAGAGAGAGAGAGAGAGAGAGAGAGAGAGAGAGAGAGAGAGAGAGAGAGAGAGAGACATTTATGGGATGGGATAGAAATATTGGTTGGCTGCCTCCTACACACACCTTTATACCTTACTGGGGATTGAGCCTGAAAACTGGGCATGTGCCCTGACTGGGAATTGAACTGGCAACCTCTCAGTGCATGGGATGATGCTCAACCAACTAAACCACATGGGCTAGGGCCCATTCATTTCTTCAGTAAACATTTATTTAGAATGGCTATTCTTGGCCAGGTACTGAACATAAATCCAGGTATTCAAACACATGGTTTCTGTCTTCAGATGTCTGAAAAAGGTGGATCAATCTGTGACTTAAAAGATAGACGACCACCAATTCATCCAGCTAGTAAATAGAGCAGAATTACAATTCGAGTTTTTAAAAACAATTGCTTTATGACTCCTCTAGATGCACAGACGTTTTGGTAGATTGTTGTGATTTTGTGTGTGTGTTTTTTTCTTTTTAGAAGAACTCAATTTACATATTATTGCTTTCATGAGAAGATAAGTTTGGAGCTCCCAGAAGTCAGTGTCCAATTGTAAAGACCCAGTTTAAAATTGCAGACCATAAATATACATTGTGAAAAGTTTTAAATCATATATGCAAATACTGCTCTACTGTAATCCAAGGATGATTAAGATAAGATGGGATGGAAGCTTGGAGTTCTAATTCTCTAAGTGGGAGGATTGTGGTAAAGAGTTTAGATCCACTGAGGAACTTGATTAAAATATTGAAAAGTGGTAGCTTAAACAAGAACAAGCAATTGTAAAGAGAATCAGAAGTCCAGACAAGAGAAAAAAAGAAAGTTGTATATAAAGAGATATTATGAGGAAAAGAATCGTAACATAAAAATTTAGGAATTGGATCATAATGTTTGAAAAATTTAAAGGCTACATGTTGAGACATAACCAAGACCTTACCTATTATGCAACACATTCCACAATGCTGGCCAATTTCAACATACACTATGGAGGACTGAAGGGAAATTTCTCTCCCCGAGATGGGGGTGGGGAAATTGAGCCACATGAGCATCTGACCTTCAAATGCATAAATGCCAAAGGCTTTTAAAGCCAGTTGGCAGCATGTACTGGGATGGAAGAATTGGGGGATTATTCTTATGAACATATTATGGGATCTTACATAAGGGAGCAAAAAGAAAGCCTTGATTGGAAACCTTACAAGAATGGCTATATATTCTTTCTGACTGCTGAAACATTTACATGTATGAACACATGGAATGTGGTGGCTATGATGGAGAGGATTAAGCACCAGGATGGAAAAAAATAATAAAAATGAAGAAGAAAATGAAAAATGTTGAATTTCTTAAATTGTTTGCAAAGTAACTGGAGCCTGTGATGGAATTTAGTTCACATGACTGAAGTGTTTCTTTGGTGTAGGAAAAAGTATTGCTGTCATATCTGTCTTTAGAAATTTTTTTAATAAGAAAAATTTTGTGGTAGCTCCTTGCCTGGAGGACTTTAAAAATAGAAGCAATTTCATCTGTCTGGAATGGTCTGTGTCAGCACTTGCCATAGGCAAAATCTTCCCCTCCCCCCTCCCTACCAGGGGATCCCTCCCCCACTGCCCCTTTCCATGCCCTACCACTTCTGCCTTGACACCTTTTTCCTGGACCATAGTTCCAATGTGACCTTCCACATAAAATCAAACCCCTTTCTCTCAGTTCACTCCAGGCGCTAGGGATGCAGTAGGTCTCACTCTTTGTGTCCTATTTGCATTTAAAAATAGGACCCTGGTTAACCCACAGGAATATCCAGTTGGTGGAGCTTGAAACAGAATAACCAAGTGGAGAGAGGTCCGGGAGAGAGGGGAGTATTTTTGGTTTCTGGGAGGAGGGGGAACCCCGTCTTCATGGAAACTATTAAATCCCAGATGTGGGCTTGGTTCAGTGTGGTGCTGTCTTGAGGGAGCTGGCAGGGGGAGGAGACAGTGTGGCTGGATTTTTTGACTGCTCAAAGTTGCTGTTAATTCTATGGGTCAGTGATTTCCAACTACATTTCCCTGCACCGGGCTTTCTTTGCAGCACTCCAGCACCGTGTGACTTGGCTTTAACTAGGGATTTTCAGCATCATCTTTGTGGCTAATAGTCTGTGCCCAAATGTACCATCAAAGCCCTCCCTGCAAACATCAACCCTGGGGCTTAGCAGTGGAGATCAGTCCCAGCCACACTCAGCTCAGAGATATTTTTACAGAGAATTCTTCAAAGCCACAGTTTTCAGAGAAGCATAAAAAAGGGGGTTGTTTTGTGCCCACAGTGTGTGTGGGCTTTTATGAAATAAAAAAAAAAGTGGCTTTATGTGAATGAAATTAAAAGCTACAAAAAGAAATCTACTCAAGGAGTTCATATGAGTAATTTGATAAACTTCATATTGGATCAATGAACATTCAGGAGCTCTGTTAGACCTGGTACATACCAAGAAAAAAGAAAAAAGAAAAAAAAAGCAAGGTCCCTTTATGAAGGAATTCAGTCTAACAGACATCCTGTGTAAGAAATGGCACATTTGAGGTAAGTGAGGACACTCTTGGCTCAACCTGTTGCTGATAGGTTCCAGAGAAGTTTATATATCCCAGGGAGATGATATCTGAGCAGAGTAGGAGTAAGCCAAACCCCCCCCCCCCCAAAAAAAAAAAATGTGGGAAGAGTGGTCTGTGTAGAAGGAACGATTTGAGCTGAAGTATGGAGGAATGAAACTACTTGACATGCGTGGGGAACTAGGAGCAGGCTATAATTTATTAGAGGAAAGTGTTGGGGAAGGGGAGGGGCAAGAAATGAGGCTGGAGGGGCAGGTGGAGCTGCCTTAGGGAGAGAGGGCCCAGCTTATGATGTTAAAGAGAATAGATTTTATCCTGAAGGGAGTCTCTGAAGGATTTTAGCAGGTCCGAGCTGCATCTTGATTAAACTGTCAATTTCAGGAAAATCATTCAAATTGCCTGTGTGATGAATTGATTAAAGAATTCTACTGAAAGGGTAGATTTTCAGGTCTAGCCATAGTTAAGTTCAAGGCTCTGTTTTTTCAAGAGGATTTATCATTAGTCTGAGACCTTTTTAAGGTATATCCCTAAAACAATTTATAGATAGATAGATGCAGGGATCTACCTATAAAACTCAACATCTTTTGGGGGTGGAGGGATGCAGCACTTCTAAACAATGCATAAGGGAAACAGTGTTTGAAGAGTCTTATCATGTCTACTATTTATGCACACTGAACTAATGATATCAGGTTAGCAATGCAAATTGTGTTATGGTCTCTTTGTTTTGTTCAGCAAAAGTCATCCGGGAAGGCGCTGTTTAACCTGAGTTGCAGCCATCTAAACCTTGCTGAAAAGGAATATTTTGGATTAGAATTCTGTAGCCATTCTGGAAATAATGTGAGTTGGTTCTTTGTGTCTACAATTGCTTCTAAATGCAGTTTGCAGCCAGGTATATAAGGCTCAAACCCCTGGTTGAAAAATAGAAAAAATAACTTGCAAAATAGCTTCTCTGTTAAGTTACCTCATTTTGCCAAACACAAACTCTTCTGCCCTATGCTCCTTCCTCTTTTGTCACTCAGCGAACAGCTATCTATGCTGTATCTATTTTGACTTTCCAGATGCTGGACCTCAACCTCCAGAATTGACTCCTAAACTCTCTTATGAGTATTCAAAGGATTTTCCTTCCCCTCTCTGAAGTCTTACTATTCCCTATATTCTTCCTGCTGTGTCTGTTATCTGGCACCTTCCCAGAAAGGCTTATTATATCTGTTAAGCTGGCATTTGGGGGCTGTAGGATTCAAACGTGGAGCCAAATGCCTTCATTAGTTTTTATAGCAACTAATGAGCCTTGTATATGACACCTCTGTCATTCTACAGACAGGGGAGTAGTGATTCAATTGTCAGCAACAAAAAGGTTATAGATCCACAATGTTCACTGTCATTGAGAAAATACACAGGGGCAGATTGAGTGATGTGGAGGTACGTCAGCTCAGACATTGCTGTTTCTAACTATTTTCAGAAGTCTAACTAGTCTTGGTATTTGTTTATTTCATGTTTATTTTTATCTGGTACCAAAAAGAAAGACACATTCAATTCCATGTCCTACCAATTTTTTCATTAATGTTATTGCAGGTCTGGTTGGAACTTCTGAAGCCTATTACAAAACAAATAAAAAGTAAGTATGGAAAATCATTTAAGGAATATAATTCCCAGTTAAAACTTAAAAATATTTCAGTAATGCCATACTATTCCTCACATTAATATAAGGGAAGAAATGGATTTTGATGTATTATTTTAATCCTTCATAAATCTAGTAAATTCAGCAATTTAAAAAATCATTTTAACTTTCCTTGAGATAAAGAAAATCATGCTGCTGGATCTTTGATTGAACTTGAAGAAGCCTGGTAATTATAGCACTCTGTGGATTGGCTCTGGAAATATATTTCAGGTTCTAGCATTACAAATGTTCGAGCATCCTTGATGTTAATCTGCAATGCCACTCACCTTTTGCCTGAAGATGTTTTTGTGTTATCCTATCATAGATATTATTCATTCATTTCAGTTCATATTTGAGTGCCTACAATTATGAAATACACCTCCCCTGTATATCACAATCTATCATGGTGGTTCTCAATTTTTAGTGTGTATTATAATTATTTGGGGTTCTTGTTGAATTACAGATTATTGGGCCTCATTCCTGCATTTTCAACAAATTCCACTGGTGTTTCTGATGCTGGTGGATTTCAGTCAACACTTCGTGAAACATTTTCTTGTAGTGTCTCTTCTCTCACCTGCTCTTTACATGTTGGTGCTTTCCACAGCTCAATCTCTTTCCCACCGCAAAATGATAATGTCACATTATTCCAACAGCTTCTTAACTAATTCCCCCTACCTCATCATGCACACCACTCCCAAAGGGAACTATTGAAAATACCAGTCTCACCACATCACTGTTTTGCTTACAAAGCTTCCATGGCTCCATATTGCTCTTAGAATAAAGTGCAAACTCATTAGCATGATCCACCAAACACTGGACTCTGCCTGCATTTCTAGCTTTACCTCTGCATCTGATCACTTTTTTTTTAAAAAAAAAAATCATATTCCTATCCCTCCTGATTTTGACTAAATTAACTTCAGCTGTAGGCTTCTCAGATAAAATAAAGGATGCCAAACTAAGTTGGAATTTCCAATAAACAAAGGATAATTTCCTTCTATATGTATGTCCCATGCAATCATTTATTTGAAATTCAAAATTAACTGGGACTTCTATATTTTATTTGATAAATCTAGCAACCGTACTCAGATTTCAACTCTTATAAGAATCTTTCCTTGACTTTCTGCAAACATTTTTGTTCCCCTCTTGTGCTTCCCCGGTACTCAGTGCTTACAATACTTTGTGGCACTGTAATTGTCTGTCTAAATGTCTATCTCTTATACCAGAATATGAGTGCTTTATTGTCATTTTATTTCCAATACTTGCCTAGTACAATGCATGGCTTAAAATAAGTGCTCACAAATATTTGCTGAATGATGCTAAATCTGCAAGCTGTAGAGTTTCTGATTTTCAAATGCAAATAGGAATTAAGGCAATTAGATATGTTTTAATGTAGATTTTTAAGATACATAGAGGCATCAGACCATACTTTTTCTGGTTCCCCTTATAAGATAATTCAGCCAGGTGATACTCATCTGCTTTTAAACCAGGGCACTTCTCTCAACCAGGAATGCAGAATTCAAAGCAGCAAGTGGGACATTTTTCAAAATGAGACACTTCTTACTTAAGAGAGGACACAGTAGGTCCCTAAGAGGCACATCTTTAGGGAAAGAAACTCAAAGGAAAGGGTAGGAAGAGGGTCAGGAGAACATTTGAAAATGCTATCCACATAGAGACACAATATAGAAATAGCAGCACCTTACAAATGTGAAAAATTAAAAAAAAAAAAAGTCTGGTAGGGAGTGGTGGAGAGAGGAGGGAATAGTAAAGAGGAGTACTAATGTGTGTGTGTGTGTGTGTGTGTGTGTGTGTGTGTGTGTGTGTGTGTGTGTAAACACCTATACACCTATAACTGTTGTGATGGACATGTAAATAAAACTTACGGAGATATTGTGTTTTAAGACCCTAAGGAGGTTGTTTTCAAATTTCTGGTGAAATTTTTCCCAGTGGACCCTGGACATCTACAAGAAGAGCTTACAAGGTTAGTACTCACTTGTGTGTCTGCTATATGATGTTACTTAAGAATTATTATTCTCCATTTACCAGGGAATGGGCTTATAATCTTTGGATGGCTTGGCTCTCAATGTCACTCTCTGGAAGATGGTGAGGAGCTGGAGAGAAGAAGGGCTTGGCTGGTACCCAAAATGTTATTCTACCAAAGGGTGGGGACTTCACAGAGAAGGGGGGTGTTCTAGAAGTGGTAGTTAGTGTGGGTGTGCACTTGAGGGTTATGCCATTAACTATTGCAACATAGTGCTTGCCTTCATTGCATCTGTGCTCAAATCAGAGGGCAGCTTGACAGCACAAGTGTAATGCCAGCTAATTTCATGGATATTAAAAAGTGTGTGTGTGTGTATGTGTATCCCAATAGGTAGAAAATGATGATGATATATACTTATAAAAAATTTAAAAAGTAAACATTTTTATAAATTATTTATAATGTTCAATATATATTATTGGCAATTTTATTATAATTGTTTAATAATTACATATTATTAAAACTTAATATGTCACTTATAATTTATAATAATAAATTTTTTAACTTTATAAAAGTAAAATATTTTTACTTATAAAAACTAAAATGTTCAAAAGTATAAGACATTTTATTTATTTATTTATTTATTTCCTTACCCAAGAATATTATCATTGAATTTTAGAGCAAGAAGAAGGGAAAGAGAGAAAGGGAAGGAAAAATATCAATATGAGAGAGAAACATTGATTAGTTGGCTCCTGAAAGCTCCCAACTGGGGCGAAGGATTGAACCTGCAACTTAGGCATGTGTCCTGACTGGAAATGAACCCAACTCAGTCCTACTGACTGAGCCACCCAGCCCAGGGCCAAAACATTTTAAGAAGTGTTTTAGTACTTATTTAAAACCAGAAGCCCAGCACTCGAAATTGCGCAGCCCCACCCACCTGCGTTGGTCTTTGGTCATTATGGCATTAGAGCCACTGGGATTTTAAATAGAGATTATGTCCTTTACAATATTAATGTAAACCTACTTCTTCAAAGATACATTTTCAGCATAACACTTCCCAAAACCTTACTCTGATTTCCAGACTTTAGATTTTACATGTAGAAGTGATGTAACAGATATATGAGATAATCTAGTTCAGCCCTCTTTGTTTACAGATGAGGACAGGTCCTGGGAGCTAGAGTGACTTAGTTGGCAATTATTGTCCCTGAAGTCTCTTTTTTACCCCTTTTCTGCAGGGATGCTTGTTTTATGAAGGGTCTTTGGAGAAGTCACCTTTCACATATCACTCTCTCTCTCTCTCTCTCTCTCTCTCTCTCTCTCTCTCTCTCTCTCTCTCTCTCTCTCTCTCTTTCTCCTTCCCTCCCTCCTTCCCCTAATTCTCTCCACATTTGTGAGTTGTAGACCACTTTCCTAGATAACTTGATATCTTGGTAACCATATCAATTTGTATTTGCCAGCCCATAACTTATTTCAGTTGATTCTCAAAGTGTGACCAGTTTTGATGGAGATAAACTTTCTCCCTCCACCAGAGAGAGAGAGAGAGAGAGAGAGAGAGAGAGAGAGAGAGAGAGAGAGAGAGAGAGAGAGAGAGAGGGAGAGAAGAGAGGAGAGAGAGAGAGAGAGAGAGAGAGAGAGAGAAAATCAATGTGATGATAAATGATTCATCAGCTGTTCAGAGCAAGGATTTGGTATTTCTATCAGACAGCTGCCTTCTTAACAGCAATGAACGTGTCAAATGACGAGAAGTTTCATTTTTTTCTTGCTAGGAGCAAAATGAAATTCACTTTCCCTTTAGCAATTGAAATTGATGATTGTATTTGCATCTATATTTGAAATCAGTCAATGGCAGAAGTTAGAATTCCTTTATTTTATCCTCATTGGTCCATCTAAGAATATTTAACTATAATTGAATTGATAACTATGATTTGTTTAGTCAAATACATAAGTTTCTGAAACTTGTGTACAAATAATAATTTCTAATGGAACTCATTTGGGGAGCACACAGTAGAACAGTGTTTCCCAACCTTCTCTCATGATGAGAATCACCTGGTGGAGTTGTTAAAACACAGATTCCTGAATCCCAACTAAGAAGTGCTAAACTAGAATTTTTGAGAACATATAGGTAAAATTGCATACCTAACTTAGTGCTCTGTATATAAAATCTGTCTTAGAGCACTAGTTAAGTATACAATTTTACCTATATGTTCCCAAAAATTCTAGTTTAGCACTTCTTAGTTGGGATTCAGGAATCTGTGTTTTAACAACTCCACCAGGTGATTCTCATCATGAGAGAAGGTTGGGAAACACTGCAGTAGAAAGTATTATAATGACAAATGCTTTTGTAAATTGAATAATTACCTGCTAATTTACTTGTATGTTTTCTAACCTGAATTTTCATCTATCACCTGAAATTAATTTCGATTCTCCACATTGACTTAAAGGATTAATTGGTTTTAAATAAAAGTCCAGGTACAGCTTTATATAAATAAAGGGAAATGCCAACAGCAGATACAATAAATGTTTTAATGAATAAAATAAAATATCAGAACCAATTTTGGACTATGAGATAAAGCCATCAGTGGTAGAAGCTTAATTATATACATCTCTTCAAAAGTTGATTCTCCTTTGATAATGGCTTAAAAGTGTGAGACAAATGCTATCTGTTTGGCAAAGCTGTAGATACCAACTGGCACTTTATGGGTCCCTGATGAGCTGTTCATGGAAAAGGGGCAGTTTGACTTCCTTCCATTCTGGTATAAAGTAATTCTATACCTGTTCTGTGCAGAGTGCTACCTTGGCTGTAGTAACACAGATAAAGGGATCTAGCCCAGCACTCTGCACAGAGCAAAAGAGTCATCTCAAGTCTTTGATTTCTGAAACACAATCTTTAGAATACGAGAACGCCTAAATTCAGTGGCAGCCCTGAATTTTGGCCACAGCTTCACTTTCTTTGGGTGATATAACCTTGCCCAAATCATCTAGTATCTGTCTTCCCATAATTGTGAAATGAGGTGATTGTTCCTGCCCTGCCAACCTCCTAAATAGTTTTGATAGTGAGTGCTTGATTGTATTTTGTAAACAGAGCACTACTGGCCTCCTGAGCAGGCTGATTCTTGCTGAATTTCCCTTTCTCTCGGACTAGGTATGTGGCTTTGCTACGTGGCAGAAACCACCGGAGGATGATTGGCCAACTCCTTCAAGTTGGCTGGGATGATTTCTAATGGTTGTTAGTCCTGCCAAAGTGCTGGATCAACTAAGTTGTGGTCGAGTACTGGTTTGGGGTTGAAGCAAAGCCTGTGCATTACTCACCACCCCCAAAAACATCCTACTGGCTGGGGGTGCCATTTCATTCTCGAAACATTTTGGATCTGGGAGAAGGGATATTCTTTTTTGTTTCTGTTTCTTTCTCAAGAGATTTCCCCCCAACTTCCTTGCAGGTATCTTTTTACTCTTCAAATAAAGAAGGATTTGGCTCTGGGAAGGCTTCCATGCAGTGACAACTGTACAGCGTTGATGGTATCTCACATCTTACAATGTAAGTAACAAATGTTGTCTTTGGGGCATATCAACCAGGCAGAGAACCAAGCAAAGGAGCTGAAAACCCTCAGCATGCCCACCATTATGTTAGAAGAGAAAGCCTAGATAAAATATATAAAAATAGAAAGAGGTTGTCATTGTAGTTATGGAAATTTAGATTCAAATACTGTCTCTACTACAGTGTAACTGTTGTATCCTAGGGTAAGTCCTGTCACTTGACTGTGCCTGAGATTCTAAGACTTTAAAATGGTGACAAAACTATTTTTGTCACAGAATGGTTGTGTTTATGTAGAATAAAAGTAAAGGCTGATTTTCTTCTGTCTGGGCTAACTTTTCCACTCCCACTGCCTGGGGCATACTGTCCAGGAACTGGTTTGGACTAATGCAGGCATGGACTTTGCCAGGCAGGCCCCACTCTCTCTGCTTGCCCCAGGATACATTTCTGGCATGTGCTTTTTGTGGCACATTGTCACGTTTGATGTGATTTTGCGTTGCTCTGTATCATGATTACAGAGAACAAAGCACAGAGTATATCAGGTAGAGAGAGACTAAAAAGGAAAAAGTCTCCAGGCATCTGTTAGAGTTATCCATCTACTAGCAGCTAATTGGACTAGGCTGAATAATGGCAGCAGGGAGAAAGAGCCTGGGAAATACTGGGGGGCATATCTGGGAGTGGGTGAATCTAGGCAGACCAGGCTGCTCCTGTTCCCTGAAGGGCAGTGTTGAGGCAACTAGAGATAAGCATATCTTCTTCTAGGGCTGGCTGTGCTTTCTCTTTGAGAGAGGGCTTCCAAGAATAATTTGTTCCTTACCATTCTGCAGGATCATACATTCATTTTTGTTTGTTTCACAAGTTCATCTGTTTGCCTCTATCCCTTACAAAATTTTAGTGTTTCCCAAACTTTTGACATATGTGTACCCCTTCTATAATTTTTGTAATGTTGAGTACCCCTCATACTCATGAGAACGTAGAATTAAGCGCAGCTAAGCATGGTGCAGTGCATATCCCCATCAAACTCTGGTGCAATGCGTACCCCCACCAAACTCTTCCCGTACCCCTGGGGGTACACGTACCACACTTTGGGAAACACTGCCTTACATCATGACAGTCCATAATTGGTAAATTTCTGTTTTTACTGGGAACTTCAGAAGTGCTTGAAGAGGGACAGTTTCTGAATCAGTATGTATCAGTCAGTACTCCTGACTGGGACAGGTAATGACAGCCCCAGGATCTCAGGAAGGCAGTGAGCAGGGAAGGCTTATGGAGGACGTGGCTTTTGTGCTGGTTCTTAAAGTGACATATAGGTATTGGATATGTATTGGGTCGGCAACTAAGTACTTGCGGATTTTTAAAAGAAAATCAAAGACAATTTTTTCATGGAACTAAATAACTTTATTCTGTAATGTATTGCCCATTTTGATCAATGACCTTTTACCATCTTTCAGGCAGCATCATAATCCCACGTTCAAAAAACTTCTGGTTTTTATTAGCAAAAAACTGAATCAGGTACGATTTGACATCATCATCATTATTGAAATTTTTACCATTCAAGGAGTTTTGTAAAGATCAAAACAAAAAGTAATCAGATGGTGCAAGGTCAGGACTATATGGTGGATGTGGCAAAACATCCCAACCAAGCTCCATTAATTTTTGCCGAGTGACCAAAGATGTGTGTGGCCTTGCATTGTCATGATGGAATACAACACCTTTTCGATTTGTCAATTCGGGCCGCTTTTCTTCAACTGCATTGTTTAATTTTGTTAGTTGTTCAATGTAGACATCAGAATTGATCGTTTGGTTGGGTGGTAAGAGTTCAAAGTAGACAATTCCTTTGTAATCCCACCAAACTGATAACAAAACCTTCTTTTGATGAATATCAGCTTTTGATGTTGTTTGAGTTGGTTCAGCAGGCCTGCTCCACGATCTTTTCCGCTTGATATTGTTGTAAACAACCCATTTTTCATCGCCAGTTATCAGTCGTTTTAAAAATGGATCATTTTTATTATGTTTCTTTAGCAAATCGCAGCTGCTAATGCGTTGCGTTAACTGTGATTCTTTCAGTTCGTGAGGAACCCATGTATCGAGTTTTTGAACATAGCCAAGTTGTTTTAAGTGATTTTCAATGCATGTATGTGATACATGAAGCTTCTCTGCAATCTCACGTGTTGTACTGTGACAGTCCAAATTGATTATTGCTTTGATTAGGGCATCATCAACTTCAACTGGACGACCAGAGCATTTTTCATCTTTGAGTGAAAAATCACCAGAACGAAATTTGGCAAACCAATTTTGACACTGCCGTTATTTTAAGGCTTCGTCACCATAAACAGCACATAACTTTTTATGAGCTTGCAATGCGTTTTTCCCTTGTGGAAATAAAAAAGCAAAATATGACGAAAATGTTCCTTTTGATTTTCCATTTTTCAACGAACGCCAAACAAAAACTACAAAACAGATCAAAAAACTTTTTTCACTGATTAACAGCTGAATAGCCAACTACCAAATAACAAAATGTGTTTTACATTTGTACTACGTCTGCAAACCTAAAAATTCAACTGAAGCCATTTGTGTGTGAAACCCGCAATTACTTAGCTGCCGACCCAATAGTAATAGGAAGAGAAAAGAGCATGGAAAAATGGTAGTAGGACAAGAAGTCATGTATAGAGAGGATGCAACTCAGGTAAAGCTCAAGCATAGGGTCTGTTTAGGAGAGGTGGCAGAAAGGGCCTTGAATGTCAAGGACACTAACAACATGTTCACTATTGTGTTTTGCTTGGCAAGGGTCACAGGGTAAGGCAAATAGGGAAAACAATGTTGAGAGACATCCTTCTCTATTAACTATTAAAGTAGCAATCAGGGGACTGAAGCTTGGTGACAACCTCTAATGGGGGAGCCCAATATCATTCCTAATGGTGCAGCATTATAGATTTGGGCATTCCCTAGTGGCCATTTCAGGCACAGCATGGAACACTTCAGCTTTTGTCAATAGATGTTCATTCCATAGGAAAAGGCTAAAGTTTCAAGGAGTCAGCTCTTTACAATCCATCCCTGTCAGACAATTTCATTGGCTATGTAGGCAGTAAACAGAACACAACCAGATTTCTCATTCATTTGCTAATTTATTCATTCATCCAATATTTATGTTTTACACATTTAAGAACCTCCACGTTCTGACCTCTTCACTTAAGTTTCTTTTACACAACTTTCTAATTCTAGCCAGGCACTTCCTCCCAAACACAATCTGTACATTTCAAATGAAGACTCATTTTTATGAATGCCTTTAGTTACTCTTCTTTGTCATTTATTCAACAAAAATTTCTTGAGTGCCTACTACATGCCAGGTACTATTTTAGGCACTGGAAACATAGCAGTAAACTAAGCAGACAAAAATTCTTGCCTTCGTGGGACTCACATTTTGGCAGCAGTAGAGGATCAGACAATAATCAAAATAAGGAAATATTTTATGCATGTTAAAAGGTGATAAAAGTGCTGGAGAAAATAAAGTATAAAAAGGAGATGGGGAATTCTGGGGGTGGATGCTGATATTTTCAATAAAGTGCTAAGAATAGGATTCACTATGAAGGTGACAGCTGAACAAAGAATTGAAGAAGGTGAGAGAAGAAGCCATGTAGAAACCAGTGGAAGGAAGTTCCAGGCAGAGAAAACATCTAGCATAATGAGCCTGAGGTGGGAACATGCTGGAATGTTCAAGAAATATTAAGCACTTTGTGGCTGCCTGGAACTGAGGGAGGAAGATAATAATCATGGGGTACCTTAAAAGCATGTTAAGACCAAGAACATTACTCTGAGATGGGAAGCCATCAAAGCATTTAAAGCAGAGGAGTGAAATAATCTGAACTAGTTTTTAACAAGATCATCTTGACTGTTATGGTGAAAATAGAAACTTGTAATGAGTAGTAAATAAGCCATAGAATTCTAACACACAGTATAATTAATAGAGAGCATAAAATGTACTATAATTATGTAATCATATGTCATAAAAGCCTAATATGCAAATTGACTGAATGGTGGAATGACTGGTTGCTATGACAAATACTGACCACCAGGGATGGCCTGGGCACAAGCCCGTAGCCACTTCTCAGTCATGGGCATGCTGGTATTGCCCTAGGATGGGTGTGTGGAGACTGTAGTAGAGTGGCAGTGAGCCTACTGAGTGGCAGCGGTGGGCACAGTGGGGCGGGGATAAGCAGGAGCAGGCTGGTGCCTGGCCCGGGCTTAGGCTCTTGCATTGTTGGTTTGGTGGTAATAAACTACCTTAGTCCTTTTTTGTCTGTGAAGCTCCTGATTTCACCTTCAATTTTTTTTAAAATATATATTTTATTGAATTTTTACAGAGAGGAAGAGAGAGGGACAGAGAGTTAGAAACATCAATGAGAGAGAATCATCTATCAGCTGCCTCTAGCACACCCCCACTGGGGATGTGCCCGCAACCAAGGTACGTGCCCTTGACCAGAATCGAACCTGGGACCTTTCAGTCAGCAGGCTGACGCTCTATCCACTGAGCCAAACCAGTTTTGGCTTTTATACTCTTATTTATTGTAGCTTTGTATTAAGCTTTGAAATAGGGATGTGTACATCCTCCAGCTTTTTTCTTCTCTCACAAAATTGTTTTGTTATTTTGCATCCTGTGCATTTCCATGTAAATTTTAAGATCATTCACTAATTTCTACAAAATACTCGTGGGGATTACATTGAATTTGTGCATCAATTTTGGCAGAATTAAAATTTTTACAATGCTGAGTCTTCTAATCCATGAACCAGAAATGTCTTTCAATTTATACAGCTCTCTTAGAAACTTTTCTTGGCAATGTTTTGTACTTTTCAGTATATAAGGCTTATATATATTTTGCTAAATTTATTCCCAAGTATTTTATTCTTTATATGTGCTATTGTAAATGACATTGTTTTCCTAGTTTCACTTTTTAAAAATTTTTTTAGTTGCTAGTATATGCAAATACAATGATGTTTTGTATACTGATTTTCTATCTTGCTACCTTGCTGAACTCATACATTAGTTCTAGTAGAGTATTTTTGTGTGGATTTTTTAGGATTTTGTACACACAGGACCATGTTGACTATAAGTAAAGATAGTTTTACTTCTTTATTTTCAGTACAAATATTTTCTATTTCTTCTTGTTGCCTGATTGCACTGACTAGAACCCCAGTACAATGTTTGGTAAAAGTCTCAAGAGTAGACATCTTTGTCTTGTTCTTGGTCTTAAAGGAGTACATTCATTTTAACACCATTTAGCGTAATTATAATTTTAGCTGTAGATTTTTAATAGTTAACCTTTTTCAGGTTTAAGAAGTTCCTTTCTATTCCTTGTTAGTTGAACATTTATTTATTTATTTGTTTGTTTATTTATTTATTTATTTTATCATGAATTGGTGTTGGGTTTTGCCCAATGCTTTTTCTGCATCTATTAAAATGATAATATATTTTTGTCCTTTATCCTTTTAACATAGTATGTTACATTAATTAATCTTCACATATTCAACTGATTTTGCAATCTTGGGTTAAATTCCACTTGGTCATGTCTAATCTTTTTATGATATTTTTATATATTGCTGGATTCATTTTACTAATGTGTTATTGAGGATTCTTGCATCTGTATCTATGAAGGTTATTGAACTGTGTGTAGTTTTTTGTTCTTCTTCTGATGCGTTTGTCTGGTTTTGGTATCAGAGTAATACTGGCCTCATAGGATGAGTTGATAAGTATTAATTCCTTTATTTTCTGGAAGAGTTTGTGAAGAATTTATATTTATATATATTTTTGAATATTTGATATAATTACTCAGTGAGACAACATGTGCCTGATTGATTTTTAAAGAGATTTGTACATTTATCAGTTTTGGTAATAAAGAAAGAAAGAAAGAAAGAAAGAAAGAAAGAAAGAAAGAAAGAAAGAAAGAAAGAAAGAAAGAAAGAAAGAAAGAAAGAAAAAAAGAAAGAAAGAAAGTCATTGATTTGGTCTTTTGAAAAACTTGTTAGAGATTTTCATTATAATGTGATCTTGAAATATACATACACATAGACCTCACTTGTCTAAAAATGAATGTGCCTTCTGTCTAAAACAATAGAAAACCAAGACAAAAAAGAAAATAATAACTTTCTAGCACCCAATATGGGTGCCCCCATGTCCATGTATTTTATCCCAAAAGAGAGCACCACAAGGTTCCATGGAAAGTCTATTTATTCTTACAATTCATAAACTGCTAACAAATTTGGATATCTGTATTCCATTTTTTAAATGTTACAATGTGAATTTTAATTGGAATATTTGTTTTGGGTTCCCACTTTATGGTAGATTAGAAGTTACAATTTAGAACCAAGTGGAGACCTAACTCTTTAGGGGAAGTCAATGACCAGGAAGTGATTCGTATCAATCTGACAGAGAGAGAGAAGGCATAAAATTATAAAGAAGACACAAGAATTCAAAAGCAAAATAGTTTGAGGCCATTTACTGTGAGGGCAGATAGTCCTATATAGTTCAATTGCCTTTGTAGACATAGTGCTAAAATATAGGTTTCTAACAATAAACTGGAGACATCTAGAAAAGAGATAAACTGCAAGTGAGTTGAAAAAGCTAGAATGATTTCCATTATGATTTATCTACTGGGGAATACAAATAGCTCAGGTTTTACTAGGATCCCAGAGTAATAGATTGCTGTGACTGGCCTACATCATAGTTAGGAGGCTGAATTGACTTGCTTGGGCTGCCATAACAAAATGCCAACGACTAGTTTGTTTAAATGACAGAAATTTAGTTTCTCACAGCTTGGAGCCTGGAATTCCAAGACTGAAATTTTGGGTTCTTCTGAAGGCTTGCAGATTGTTACCCTCGTGATGCATCTTTACATGGTCTTTCCTCTGTGCACCTGCATTCCTGGTGTCTCTCTATGTGATGAAATTTCCTCTTTTTATGAGGACACTGGTCATATTGGGTTAATGGACACACATCTGCCTCATTTAACTTAGATCACTCCTTTATAGAGTCTATCTCCAAACACAGTTGCATTCTGAGGTGCTGGGGAATGGTATTATCAACATATGAATTTGAGAGGGGTTGGCATACAATTCAACTCATAACAGGAATTGATCAAATGTAAAAGAAACCATGAACTGAATGTAGGAGAAGGAAATAACAAAATACTCATCTGTGTTCCTGTAGCCTTTAAGACTTACCTTGTGTCTATGAGATACTATACAGGGACTTAATAACAGCTCACTGCTTTTGATTTGAAAAAGAACCAGTTAGACCTCTTCCTTGCCCTCCCTAACTAGACACAAAGCATGGGATGGGAGGCCTCATCCTGCATTGGCTGCAAAGAAAGGATTGTTTTGGGGAGATCAGAGAGTCTTCTGGGTGCTCCATTGCTTAACTCCTCAATGGTAATGTGAAAAAAATGTCACTCTTCTATTATGCAGCAGAACTGGGAGACTTTCATGAAGAAATAGATAGGAAACATCTGTCACAAACCCGTTACTTACCGAACCAAGACTGTTTAGAGAGCAAGATCATGCACTTTCATCAGAAGCACATGTAAGTACTTCTAACTGGCACCTGTTTTCACCAGCAGGGAACACTGCAGCTGAGGACAGATTTAAAAGCAAACCCTTCAGTCAGAGAAGCTTGAGGCTCAAGAAAACACTGAACTCATCATGGAGCTCTCAGGGTGAAGTTGTCATCCTTGTCACACTTATTAGGCTCATAAATTCTTTCCCCTTACAGTGGCAAGAACCCAGCTGAATCTGACATTCTGCTACTGGACATAGCAAGGAAGTTGGATATGTATGGCATCAGGCCTCAACCCGCCAGTGACGGTGAAGGGATGCAAATCCACCTAGCTGTTGCTCACATGGGAGTACTGGTGTTACGGGTAACAACTATTTCATTTGAAGTCCTTTAGCTTTGGGAGTTATCTTGGGTCAAATTTTAGTGTCTTTTCCCAAGGTGATCCAGCCCCTTAGTCTTACTACCAGTCAGAGAGATAATGCTTAGAAGTGTTTTGGGTCAGTCTTTTCTCTTCAACGTGGTTTGCTTCCATTTGCAGTCTATACCTGATTATTCTAAAAAACTCACATATTAGATCAGGCCAGCATGGTTGAGAGAGGAAGTCAAGAGCATCTTTGGAACTTTTGGACTCTTAAGTAAAGAATATGAATTTTGGCATCCAAAAACCTTAGGCTGTGACAAATTAACCAAAAACAACTCAAAGGTTCCAAAGTGTGGTGTTCTCATTCAGTTACTGGTTTTATTGGAGGCACCCAGTGCCAGCCAATAGGGAATTGTTGCTGTCTACTGGCCATCTTTACCCGGAACTTTGTATTTTAGGCTAGAAACAAGCTCATGGCTCTCTTTGCTATTAATCCTCACTCCACAGAACTTGGACAAAAACTATTTCTTCAGCATATTTTATAATCTATTAGGTCTACTCACATCTGTGAATATTCAATGAATTTAAATCTACATTAAGGTTCAAGAACACTTGGCTAAACTTCTAAATGAAAAGCAGATACCTAGGAAGGTTTGGGAACAAATCACATTTGAGAGAGGAAGGGCTAACCACTGACCCTAAGGACCAAATTAGAGCACTGAGTTACATTACAAAGCAGGTCAGGCAGATTCAGCTAAAATAATCTTTGCCTTCTCATTTATTTGGTTGTAAACTTTAGAGCATGAGAGTCACATTGATGGGCAAAAAAGTAATGGATCACAGGCATACCTGTTCACCCAGGAAGGAATTTTACCCATTCCACTCTAACCCATGATCTTTGGTATTTTCTATTGTATGGGAGCAGATTGGGAGGGTAGGTGTGCATGGCTGTAATGTTAGTTTTGATGCCTTTCAGTGTGAATACTTCCGCGGATAGCTGGAAACAATATAGCTGGTCTATTTTGTCTTACTCAAATCCAGTCAAATAATATTTAGTGTTGAGTACCTTCTCTGTGTTCTTCATTGCATTATTATTTCTTAAAAAAACACAAACAGCTGAAGCCGGTTTGGCTCAGTGGTAGAGCGTCGGTCTGCGGACTGAAAGGTCCCTGGTTCGATTCTGGTCAAGGGCATGTATGTTGGTTGCGGGCACATCCCCGGTGGGGGATGTGCAGGAGGCAGCTGGCCCATGTTTCTCTCTCATCGACGTTTCTAGCTCTCTATCCCTCTCCCTTTCTCTCTGTTAAAAATCAATAAAATATATTAAAAAAAAAAACAAAAACAAACACACACACCTTGTCTTTATAAATACATAATTTTCATACAACAAAATTCATGTTTTAACTACACAATTCAATGGATTTGAGTGTATTTACAGAGGTAGGCATCAATCTATTTATTCATCTTTCTATCAATATATTTCTTGTGCATTCACTCTGTCCCAGGGACTAGAACTACAGAGGTAAATAGTAATGATCCTGACCTTGTGGAACTTGCATTCTAATAGAGGGAAGACAGATAATGAAGCAAGTAATTATAAGCAAACATGATGCGCTTTGTGCTACAAGAAGTATGGGATGCTAGGTAACATGTGGAAAGGGATTGTGCCCCACCTATAATGCCTTCATTGGCTATAGCTTCTATCAAGTACAGCAGGATCAGTCTGTGTAAGAAATAGATCAAGGGTAGTCTCATTCATGACATACATTTTCTGTCAGGTTTGCATTGTCTTATAAACCAGCTTGTGCTGATATTCATCTCTCTGAAATCTTCCATGTATTTATTTATAGGGAAATACAAAGATTAATACTTTCAATTGGGCTAAAATTCGCAAGTTGAGTTTTAAGAGAAAGCATTTTCTCATCAAACTTCACGCCAACATCTTGGTAAGTAGCTTTCTAATAAATTCTATCACCTTCTGTTCACCTGGGATTTCTTGGTTGTTTCTGCAAATAGTTTGAATGTGAATGGCGAAAGCTAGCTGGCCCTGAGGGGTCATGTGTTCCCTCTTTTAACTCTACATAAATAAACTAGAGCTTTACTTAGTTATATTTTTACTAAAGGCAAATACAAAGAAATTCTACTGGTGATTTAAAATGAATAAAAGTAATAGGAAAATGTGGTGGTTGCGATGAAAGACAAGTTTCCTTAGAAACCTTTTTTCAGGGATCTGATAAGTTAAATAGATGTCAGCAGATCTTGGACTATGGACATATTTATTCTGTTTTCTGCTCCATTTTACAAAGCATTTTCATCTTTTTTCCGTAAGCAAAAATAATCACCTACTACATGCCAAATATTTGAACACCTACAGTTTATAAAAGCATGATGTTGCAGTTAGGTGTATATTAAGCAAGAGAAACAACTATTGATTAAGGCTGCATTGTACAGGGTAAGACAAAGGTGCTGGGTAGGAAGTTCTTTTATGACTATAAAGCAAATATGCATTATTATTATTATTATTATTTTTACCTACAGAAGATCCAGTAGTTTGGGCTTCTTTCTCTGGATCTTAGCCTTATATAGAATCATAAGGAGACTGTATACAGTTTGAAGCTTATGGAGAATCCCAGGGTTGTAATACATAGGAACATGGGAAGGAATAAGAGATGGGAGGCACCATCAAAGTTGGGGGAGGGGGGGAGAGGCTGCTGAAAATATGGCTACGCACATGTATGAAAAAATGGGGGTATATAGTATATTAAGGGAATGGAAAAAAAAACAACTTGACTTTTATGTCTGCTCCCCCAGAGCAGATTAGAACATGCTAAATGAAAAATACAAACCATAGTAGAACAAGGCATCTTAGAGAGGGAAAAGTGCTTCTGGCTGGTATATTAAAAAGATTCATATACATGTAACCATACTATAAAGCTATCATCTATATGAAAATCTCCTCCCCAATCGTCTTTCCTGTTGGTCATTTATAATTCTTGTTACCTTGAAAGGTTACTCTTTAATGTTCATTTTAACCTAATTTACAACTTCATAAAGGTGTTCCTGGCAGAAAAGAAGAGGTAAAATGTTTGAGGTGAAGGGGGGTGTGCAAGGTAAAATTTGGTTCTTAGAGAAGGGTCTGTTTTTGAGCAGTGGCCCTAGCTGTTCCTCGAAAGGTTGCCAATAATTTGGTTTCAATAGGTGTGAAGCTTATAGGGGGCCAAGTGGAAAATCATGAGCTGCATGGGCACCTGGACCAATAGATTGAAAAGCTTTGGGATTTGAAGGTCTTTATAATCTTGAAGGCTATTTTGCTTGATGGAACTTGGTTTATACAGGTGTTGTGCAAGGATACCTTGGAGTTCACCATGGCCAGCCGAGATGTCTGTAAGGCTTTCTGGAAGACTTGTGTGGAATACCATGCTTTCTTCAGACTCTCTGAAGAGCCCAAATCAAAGCCCAAAACCCTACTCTGCAGCAAGGGTTCCAGTTTCCGCTATAGGTAATTTAATATTACACATAGGCAAACTATACACAGAAATTTTCAATAAAATGGCAGGCAGTAGGAGAAGTTGAATTATAGAAGCAATAAAGAATTCATTTCAATCACTTAAACAATGATACTTTTTACTATTCATTCTCCGTGTGACATATTATGTCAATATTTTCTAAATGGAAGGTGGGAGAGAGAAACATCTTACTTAAGGGGTTAGATCAGAATTCTGCAAGGATGAGGGGACATAGGCAGTTTGAGAAAATATAATCAATGAACCTATTGCTTTGCTTATATACAATTTATGTGCAAGTCATGGAAAAGAAAACTCAATGATATTCTTTTGGCAGTGGTTAGGCAAAAAAACAGTGTAAGTAAGCACGAAAGGGCCAAGAGATTAAAAAGTTTGAGCAATATTGTAGTAGAAGCTCCTTATTACAGGTAACACCTTGGAGAAATTGAAGCAACAACTAAATAAGATCTTGTCTCTAGTTGAAGACACAAAACTAGGAATTCTTTGGGAAGACCTTTTAAAACTCTTTGCTAAGAGAAAAATATTTTAATCAAATGCTTTCCATAAGAGATTTTTCAAATAGTGTAGACCTGCTCCAGTAAGAGCTGAGATTTTTTTATGTTTGATAAATCTTTATTGTTCAGATTATTACAGTTGTTCCTCTTTTTTCCCTTCCATAGCTCCCCTCCACCTGGTTCCCACCCCACCCTCTGCCCTTACCTCATCACTGTCCAAAACAATAGGTGTACAATTTTTGTCCGATCTCTTTCAACACCCCCACACCCCCTTGCCCCCAAGAATTATCAGTCCACTCCCTTTTCTATGCCCCTGTTTCTATTGTATTCACCAGTTTATTCTATTCATCAGATTTTTCATTCATTTGATTTTTAGATTCACTTGTTGATAGATATGTATTTGTTGTTCATAATTTTTATCTTTTTCTTCCTCTTCCTAAAGAATACCCTTCAGCATTTCATATAATACTGGTTTGGTTGTAATGAACTCCTTTAGCTTTTTCTTATCTGTGAAGCTCTTTATCTGACCTTCAATTCTGAATGGTAACTTTGCTGAGTAGAGTAATCTTGGTTGTAGGTTCTTGCTATTCATCACTTTGATTATTTCTTGCCACTTCTTTCTGGCCTGCATAGTTTCTGTTGAGAAATCAGATGCCAATCATATGGTACTCCCTTGTAGGTAACTAGCTTTTTTTTCTTTTCTTTTTTTTCTTGCTGCTTTTAATATTCTCTCTTTGTCTTTTGCCCTTGGCATTTTAATAATGATGTGTCTTGGTGTGGTCCTCTTTGGATTCGTTTTGTTTGGGGTTCTCTGCCCTTCCTGGACTTGTAAGTCTATTTCTTTCACCTCGTAGGGAACATTTTCCGTCATTATTTCTTCAAATAGGTTTTCAATGTCTTGCTCTCTCCCTTCTTCTGGCACCCCCATAATTCTTTTTTTAAAATATATATATATAGATTTGATTTTTTACAGAGAGGAAGGGAGAGGGAGAGAGAGTTAGAAATGTCGATGAGAGAGAAACATCAACCAGCTGCCTCTTGCACACCCCCTACCGGGGATGTGCCCGCAACCAATGTACATGCCCTTGACCGGAATCAAACCTGGGATCTTTCAGTCCGTAGACTGACACTCTACCACTGAGCCAAACCGATTTCGGCAAGCACCCCAATAATTCTGATGTTGGTACACTTGAAGTTGTCTCAGAGGCTCCTTACAGTATCTTCATATTTTTGGATTCCTTTTTCTTTTTTCTTTTCTGGTTGGGTATTTTTTGCTTCTTCGTATTTCAAATCTTTGACTTGATTCTTGGAATCCTCTAGTCTGCTGTTGGATTTCTGTATATTATTCTTTATTTCAGAATGTGTAGGCTTAATTTCTAGTTGGTCTTTTTTTATATCCTTGAGGATCTCACTAAATTTCTCAGAGGTTTCTAGAAAATTCTTGAGTAACCTTATAACCATGGTTTTGAACTCTATATCAAGTAGTTTGCTTTCCTCCAATTCTTTCATTTGTGACTTGTTTCTTTGTCTCTGCATTTTGGCTGCTTCCCTGTGTTGATAGAGTGGCTATGTGTGCTAGGTGTCTTATGAGGCCCAGTGGCTCAGCTTCCCCAATTTCCTGAGGTGGGCACTCTTGGTGCACTCTTTTGTGGGCTGTGTGAACAGTCTTGTTGTAGTTAAGCCATGATTGTTGATGGTATCACTGGGAGAAATTGACCTGCAGGCCAATTGGCTGTAAGGATCAGTTATGTCTATGATGGGAGAGCTTCTATGCTAGAGACACCATTATGGGGAAAGACGTGCTTCAGTGGGGCTTTGGTGCTCCCTGAGTATGTCCCTTATGGATCTGAGGAGCTGTAATCTGGAAGATCTCACTCTGACCACTGGGTACACTGGTTCTTGGATCTCCAAGGAGATGTAAATTTAGCCTCTGCCTAAGCCATCCAGCAGCAGCTATGGAGAGATCTGCAGATTCCTCTTCTTTGTTTGGGGTTTGGTGGTGCCAGATGAGGTCCAGTTGTGAAGCAATGCAAGCTGCTGTGGAGCCTTGGGCCTTCTTTTGGATGTCTGGGGGCTCTATGACCCAGTTTCAGTTTGTTAGGTAATTTTATATTGCAAAGGGTCAGGCCATTCAAATGCAAAAGCCTCTGTGCACAGCTGGGGTGGAGTTGTAAATTGAGTGGGGCGAAGTCTCAGGAAATCCATAGGGCAGTGCAAAAAAAAAAAAAAACAAAAACAAAAAAACACCAAAGAAACCAACCAAACAAAGAAAAAACAATGGCTGACCTTCAGCCCTGCCCTAAGAGGCCCCAGGTCTCAGTGTCCCATGGTAATCAGTGCAAGCACCTCTGTGAGAAAGCTGCCCTTGTGTTCAATGCCTCATAGTCTAGTTTGTCCCCTTATGAGTCTGGGTCCCCAGAATCTCACCCAGAACTGGACTTCAGAGCAGTTGGGAGCTTGTAGCACCCTCCTGATTGAAAAGACAACTGCAATAGAGAAACCAAGATGGTGGAATAGGTAAACACCAAGATGGCTGCCTCTCACAATAATTTCAAAACTACAACTAAAAGACAAAACATCTATCACCCAGAACCACCAGAAAGCTGGCTAAGTGGAATTTCTACAGCTAGAAGGAAAGAGAAAAGAGCACTGAGACATGCACAAGAGCTGAAAAGCCGAGGTATGGAGGCGCGTGAATTGGGCTGTTAGCAGGCGATTGGATGTGCTTTTTTTTCAACCTGAAGGGAGACAAGTTCTTAATTATTCTGAAATCCAGTTTCTGGGGAGATGCTGGGGACCCAAACTCCTTCAGGGAGAAGCTGGACTGTTGGCCATTGGGTCAGAAAGTGAGGGTGACTTTCTTGCAGAGGTGCACCCAGTAATCATTGTTTACTGCGCTGAAGTGTGGGACCCAGGGACTTGGAAATGTGGAAACGCCAAGAAAGCTGACTGGCAGCCATCGCTGTTTGCCATGCCCTAGCCTAGTGATGCCCTGAGACTTCGCCCTGCACAATCTACAAACCTGCCCAAGCTCCAAGCAGCAGTTTTTGGATATAAATGGCCTGCCCTATCACAGCTTAACCAAATAAACTTCAGCTCTGGTCAGACTGCTACAAAACCTCCAAACCCCAAGGAAAGAGGAGAAAACTGTAGTTCTCACTGTAGCTCCTGTTGGGTGGCCTCAGACAGTAGCTGACCTGCACCCCATTGGAGATACAGAAGCTAGTGTATCTAGTAGTCTGCGGGAGATGACACCAGATTTCAACTACTGTCATAAGGGACACATTCAAGAGGCAGACTCAGTGAGCACCAAAGCCTCACTGAAACAAGTCCTGCTTCATTAGCACGTCTCCAGCACAGCAATTCTTCCATTATAGATACAGCGGGTCCTCACAGCCAATTGGCCTAAAGGTCAATTCCTCCCAGTGATACCAACAACAATAAAGACTTAAATACAAAAAGGGTGTACACACAGTCCACAAAGGAGTGCACCAAGAGTGTCCACCTCAGGTAACTGGGAGACTAACCTATTGGTCCAATTAGGACACCTAGCACACAAAGCCACCTTATCAACTCAGGGAAGCAATGAAAATGAGGAGACAAGGAAACACATCACAAACAAAAGAAATGGGGAAAACAAACTACTGGATATAGAGTTCAAAACCATGGTTATAAGGTTTTCAAGAATTTCATAGAAAAGGCCGATAAATTTAATGAGACCCTCGAAGATATGAAAAAGGACCAACTAGAAATTAAGCCTAAACTGTCTGAAATAAAGAATAATATACAGAAACCCAACAGCAGACTAGAGGAATGCAAGAATCAAGTCAAAGATTTGAAATACAAAGAAGCAAAAAACACTCAACTGGAAAAGAAAATAGAAAAATAATCCAAAAAATTGTAGTGTAAGAAGCCTTTAGGACACATGTGTCAAACACAAGGCCCGCGGGCCAAATCCGTCCCGCCAGGCCTTGCAATGTGGCCCGCACCACGCTGTCATCACTGCACTCCGCTGCGTTTCCATCACAATGACAGTTTATGACTGTTCAGTAAACCATTCGGCCCGCGATTTAGGCTGGATTTTAGATTTTGGCCCCTTCTCTGATTGAGTTCGACACCCCTACTTTAGGACAACTTCAAGTGTACCAACATCAGAATAATGGGAGTGCCAGAAGAAGAGAGAGAGCAAGACATTGAAAACCTATTTGAAGAAATAATGACAGAAAACGTCCCCTATCTGGTAAAAGAAATAGACTTACAAGTCCAGGAAGGGCAGAGAATCCCAAACAGAAGGAATCCAAAGAGCACCACACCAAGATACATCATTATTAAAATGCCAAGGGCAAAAGACAAAGAGAGAATATTAAAAGCAGCAAGAAAAAAAAACCTAGTTACCTACAAGGGAGTACCCATATGATTGGTATCTGATTTCTCAACAGAAACTATGCAGGCCAGACGGGAGTGGCAATAAATATTCAAAGTGATAAATAGCAAGAACCTACAACCAAGATTACTCTACTCAGCAAAGTTACCATTCAAATTGAAGGTCAGATAAAGAGCTTCACAGATAAGAAAAAGCTAAAGGAGTTCATTACCACCAAACCAGTATTATATGAAATGCTAAAAGTTATTCTTTAAGGAGAGGAAGAAGAAGAAAAAAGTAAATATAAAAATTATGAACAACAAATACATATCTATTAACAAGTGAATCTAAAAATCAAGTAAATCAAAAATCTGAGGAACAGAATAAACTGGTTATTATAATAGAATCAGGCACATAGAATGGGAGGGGATTGATAATTCTCAGTAGGAAATGGATGTGAGGAGTTTGGGCAGGGATTGGACAAAAATTGTACACCTATGGATGAGGACAGTGGCAGGGGGAGGTAAGGGCAGAGGGTGGAGTGGGAACCAGGAGGAGGGGAGCTATGCGGAGGGAAAAAGGAGAAACAATTGTAATAATCTGAACAATAAAGATTTATTAAATTAAAAGTAAATTTATTAAATTTATTAAAAAAGAAAAAGGAAAGAAAAGAAAAGAAAAAAAGAAAAGGAAAGAAAAGAAAAGAGAAAAAAGAAAAAAGAAAAGAAAAGAAAAAAGAAAAGGAAAGAAAAGAAAAAGACAACCTGTCCTCAGTTGCCAGCCCCTTTGCTCGCTCGTCTCTGAACCTCCCCACTTTACTTCCACACCTCCTCTGAGTCTCAGTGTGCTTTTCTTTTTCTTTCTCTGTTGTAGAATTTCCACTCAGCCAGCCTTCCTGTGGTTCTGGATATTTTGTCTTTTAGTTGTAGTTTTGAAGTGGTTGTGTGAGGCAGCAAGTTCAGGTGTTACCTATGCCACCATCTTTGTCTCTTGTGAGATTTTTTTTAAAAAACATACATAATTTTGATGGAATGTTTCCAAAATATATTCTATAGATCCCCAATTTCTTAAACAGATGACACTGATAATACTTTGCCTTTTTAAGTGGCCTAAGTAATTATAAATATTAATTATCATCTGCAGGCAGCTTTAGTAAGGTGATGGCCTTATGGTGGGGGACACATGCCAGACCCTGTATCTCAGTGATAAATGGCCCAGAATTGTTGGGTTTTATTATTCTTGTGGTTTCTTTTTAGGCTCCTGTGTTTCTTCCAGAAGTCATCTGGGTATTTTGCTAGTGTATGTCTAACTGAAGCAACCTTCTTCTACTGTTTGATTAGCTGTTTTTCTTCTGTCATGGGTTAGAAAACCAGTAAAATAGCGTCATTAGAAATTCTTTGCAAATTTGGAAGTAGAGAAAATGAATATAAACATAAAGCATATTATTTCCAAGGCCAGAATATTTAACTGTTATAGAGCCCTGTTCAGAAGCTTTTTGAAATTTTCTGGGATCTGAGTAATTGAGGTTGCTCTATGTCTGCTGGTGACTAAAGTGGGTATTATCATTAATATGCTGGTCAAAGATTTATGACATATGTTATTCTTCCAGACTTTTAATATTTTAACAATTAATGAGGCTTTTGAGTTTTAGTAGCCTATTCACTATAAACTAGCATTAATAAAATGTTTCTCTTTTTTTCTTATAATAGTGGAAGAACCCAAAGGCAACTTTTGGAATATGGGGGGAAAAGGAGGTTAAAGAGCTTGCCATTTGAAAGGTACATAGTTTTGTTTCTCACTCTCATGTTCAATTTGAATTGAATTTAGAGATTTATATGTATCCTATATTCACACAAACACCATTTGAATACATTATTCATTTGGAAATTTCAGGAAACATTACCCATCTCAGTACCATGAACGACAGTGCAGGTCCTCACCAGACCTCCTCTCTGATGTCTCAAAACAAGTAAGGTTTCTGAAAATGCTATTTTTTTTTAAAGATAAGTGTAATATGTTGTTTCAAAAGCTTCCAAGAATTGATTCTGCCAGAATCTCACAGTTATTGTGTTTTAGTAGGTTAGCCTCCCATGGAGGTCTGTAAGCTCAATCTTTTCTGCCAATAGAAGAGCATTTAGTATATGACCACTGGTGTGTATCTTATAGACCAGAAGGATCTGGCTTAAATTGCAATATGTAGTGCTAACATGTTGAAAAATGTAGAGTCCAATGAATATATATGGCTTTATATTACCTATAAAAACTTAAGGCACAGAGGAAGCTAGGTGTTGGGTTAAAGTTTTAAAGTACTTTTGCTGGATAACTTTGTAACTTCATTTAAGAACAAAGTGCTATTATCCTGAAATGATGGCTTCATGTGAGTGGTATAGTATGAACCATGCTAATTTGTCTTTTGCTCTCACAAAAAATAATTAATTATAGGTCTCATAAACTCTTATGTCTTCATTCAAATCAGAGGCAATTTTTATCTGAAAGGCATGGCAAAGGTATAATGTTGAAAGGTACCATATAATATATGACCCTCTCATGCCAGTCATAGGCTTCCTTAGCATTTTACAGAAAATAGGCAGGAAGCTGGAACAGTGAGTTTAGAAGACTTACCTACACAGCAATGAGCCAGGAGAGAAGTCAGAACTTCTGGCTCATTAATATAGTTACTAAACCATACTGATTGAAGCACAATTCTGGCTGAAGTATATAGAGAACTTGGAGCTCGAGCGTGGGATAGAACTGAGAAAGGATAGTGTCATGTGTGTGTTTTACACATGAATTGGGATATGGTACACGTTATTACCCTTTCTGAATATATTTATCAACTCTGGAATAGAAATAACTTTGTGAACAATCACCTTTTCAAAACTTAAGGCTAATTTAGATTCCTGATCCCACCCAAGCAAATGACTTTTTCCTTCTTTTACCAACATGTCCTTTCTCTGAAGGTGGAAGATTTGAGACTAGCATATGGCAGTGGGTACTACCGAAATGTGAATGGAGTGCACGCATCTGAGCCTGTGCTAGACAGTAGGAGGAGAAACTCTGCATTGGAGGTGACATTTGCAGCAGAGCTGGAGCGTTCCAAACCAGAGGCAGATCCCACATTGTTACATCAATCGCAAAGCAGTTCCTCTTTCTCTTTTTTTAATACTGATCCTGTCTTTACCACTGACCCTGATCCTGACACTGATTCTAGAGACTACTTTGAGGAAAGAAGTCCTTTGAGCTCCTTCCGAACAAGCTGTAAGTTTGCTGACAATCACATGAACACATCTTCTGGCCTTACGAGCGAAGTGAGTCCAGCAAGGAGGCTAACATATACAGATGTCCCATATATTCCTTGTACTGGTCAGCAGGTTGATATTATGCCTCCTCAAATATTTTTTTATATGGACAATCCACCCCAGGTGCCCAGATGGTCTCCAATTATGGTAGAGGAAAGGGAAAAGCTAGACAGTTATATAGAACCCACTTCAATGAAGCCAGCCAAAAGAAGCCCAAGGAATATCAGAATGAAGAGCTTTCAGCAAGACTGTCAAGAACTCCAAGAAGCTATGGATAGGACAAGTGGTAGGAGCAACATAAACGTAGATCTAGAAGATCCAGATTTAGAAGATGCATTTGCATATAATATTCAAGAGCAACCCCCTAAACGCTCCCATAGCCAATCAGACATGAAAACTATCCGTTTTCCTTTTGGGTCAGAATTTAGACCTTTAGGGCCTTGTCCTGCTCTGAGTTGTAAAGCTGACCTGTTTACTGATATGTTTGCAGAGCAGGAGTTTCCAACAGCTCTAATGGATCAGGGAGCAGCAGAAAGGTGTGTAGCTAATGAATCCAGTGATTCTGAATCAGAGTTTCTTAAACCAGACTATTACTCTTTGTATGGTAAAGGAATGAGGTCACCCATGGCCAGAATTCGCTTGTCTTCTGGTAGTCTACAGCTAGATGAAGAAGATGAAAATGTTTCTTCCAATACCACAACTGCTGAAGACAGGACTTTATTAAAACCATGTAATTACTTTTTAGCTTAAAAGTGTAAATTTTGTGACCATATTTGGACCAGTCCTGTTACCAACTTAGGTAACAAGAAGGAACCTTCTGCATAAACCGTTTTCTTAGTTCCTATTCATTGTTATTTAGGGACTCTTCAAAGTTTAGGCATGTGGCTTATGAAAGATTCAAATGCCGCCATGTTTATCAACTTCTACTCTTCTATTCCCTCTAAAAGATCTGTGGAACATGCCCTCTCCTCAGCACTGTAGTGAAGTGGTGGGTATTTGCCATCTCCATGACACATTTCCCCGTAGAGACATTATAAATGAAGATCAGACTCCTTAATACTGAAGAATGGTTACAGCATGGGTTGCAATATAGAATTGGCTTCTTATGTCATTTAGTGATTTATTAAATTGTGTCTGTGTTAGTCATTTTGTTCTTAAATAATACTATGACTAAAGGTTTCAATCCTCACTATCTGTCTTCCTGAAGTTCAGGAACAAGATATGTCATAGAGTCTCTCAACAGCCACAAGTTTATAATTTATCTAGGACTTGGCAGAATTTTTATCCTTAGAAATGAATGAATTAATCCATTTCTAAAGCCAGATATATGCCTGCTGAGGATATAATAATGTTTAACTTATTACTTCTCTATTCTTAACTATTTTATGTAGTGAAAGAGAAAAGCTAACTGTTAGTTTCTTTAATCTCCTGCAAGACTCTTTATTTTTTGCTATATCTTGTTGCATGTATGTAGGTAAGGAAATGAGAAGAATAGTATTTTAACAGAGAATGATTGAAATCCATTTATTAAAAGTGCTGTATTATTTTCCTTTTATTTTAATAAATTTCAGGAGTGATTGGTTCTAGCGTGCTACTAAGGAAAAGGACTGAAGGAGTGAAAGGAGGGAGTCCAGTGCAAATGTATAGTTATGGATGAAGAAGTGGTAGAATTAGGATAGCTGAAAAAAATGATAGTACTAAAAGCAGACTGAGTTAATAAACCAAAGTCTATTCTTAACTCATTCAGAACTTTTCTACTCTTCCCCCTGGAAGGCACAGCATTCTATTTAAGATCATCTTTTGGTTTACTGAATTAAATTTTGAGTAAAGCATATAAGATAATGTTAATTACTAACTTTAAAAATGTTTCAATTATATAAGCAAGCTATTTTCATATAATGGAGAAAAGATGGATAGAATAATTTCCTTATTCTCCTAGTCTTTACATCAGAAAAATTTCTTTTAATATACTTTCCTTTACCCCTTTCCCATATTCTAGCACTTTCTTTCCTGCTCCTGAAATTGTGTCCAGTAACTTACAAGTTATAGAATAGATAGTTTATAATAAGAATATACAGGGATGAGAGTTGTTTGTATGGAAAAAGACATGCAGGTTTTGATTATTACAATAGCTTTATTAACTCTGATTCACATACTCACAACTATAAACCTAATTTTGCCCACCTCACTATTGAAGTCCAATCACCTATATATTAATCCTAAATACCCTCAAACCTATATTAAGTTCATCTTTGACTTTTTCTCTAGGAAAAACTCAAATTAATTTAGGCTTATATGTTGTTTCTTGTTTCAATTTCTATAAGTCTTTGTAAAGTTTGCTTTCCCCAGAGAACTACAGGATTCAAATTTTAAGATTTCCTAATAAAAACTATAATCAGAGGGAACATATAATTTATTGTCCAACATAGAACATTTTTGAGTGAAAGAGTACTCTGTTAATAATTTTGTCAGGATAGAAGGTGGAAATGAGGACATATATTCACTGTAGCTATAATCAATGCTTAATAAAATTTGAAAAATGTTTTTTAGGTTCCAATTAGTATTAAAATTCTCACAATAAATTAGAGGACAAAGGGGAAATGATTTGAAACAATTAAAATACCACCACACCATATATTCCTCAAGAAAATAAACACTGAGGACCAGAAAATTTAAATATTTATTTTATTCTCCTCAAACACTGGAGTACGCTTCACCTAGAAACAGTTTACTGGACTATTAACTACAACGAATAAGCAATACAATTTATATTTATAATGCAGTTGTGATGTAAAGTTTCAAACAAACAATTTATAAATTAAAAAAATTCTTTTAACTCATGATATGAGTGGCAAATTTATTTCCTGACCTCTACAGATTATAAAATGTAATTGAGCTTCAGTTACATAAAAGTTGAAAATTTTAACTGAGCCATCACTTGAAAATACGTGTTAAAAGTAATTATTAAAGTATAGGCACCAATGAAAAGAATTTTCTTGGCATATGACATGACAAAAACTTGTCTTCGTTGTTACAAAATAGAGGAGGTAATGGCCACTTTGATTAAAAACCATATTCTTTACTTGAAGAATATCTTTCTTCTAATATTTGGCAATTATTCAGATTTTTAAAAACGACTTTTGTACAAAATGAAATTGTGCAGTTCCAAATAATAAAACATCAAGCATCAAAATTAACTAGTATCAATAATTCTACAACTACAGTTCAGAACTTAAACAGGCATAATATATATACTAGTACTGGGCTTAAAAAAAAGTATTACCCATATAACAGTACCATAAATATAACTGAAAATTAACTGTACAGTCTAACTTACCTTTGTACAGACAGAAATCATCCTGTACTATGGTTACTTTCATATGAACCAGAAAATTCCTATTTAAATACCCTTTCAAAAATGAACAATGATGCTTATGTATTGGATAATTATGAAGAGCAAAAATGTATAAATAGTTTATAGCATACTTTACTACCATGACAAAAATATGCTGGTGTAAATTATATTCCTACCTGTTGACCAGGTTTTAATCACATGAAGAGCAGCTTTTTAAGCTCCCCAAATCTAAGAATATAATATGCTATTTGAATTGAAGATTTTAAAAATGAAGACTAATTCCTACAGTATTACTTGGCATTGCATTAAATCCTCAACCATGTTAAATAAGAGTTAATTTTCTCTTCTAAAAGAGAAGGTAAATACTGCACACCAAGAAGTACCCCTGTTGCTACATGTTGCCCATAAATACTTTAAACACAGGGCTCTTTAATGTGATCGTCATTGAGCTACCTGGAATATCATACCAACTTTGTAGAAGAGTCAATGGTTTTCCAGGTACCATTTCCAAGAGTTTATTAAAAATTTCTCTTGTAAGAAGGTATTGTATAACTTGTTTGTACCTCTCCACTCCACCCACAGTAATTTTTAGAACATGCTTGTATTTTTTTAAAAAAAGCTTTTTGAGGTTTGATGATTTATAAAAGTTGAATATTTCGAATGACTTTGAGAGACCTGTATGTTTCATCAGGATATAAGATCAAAACATGAAAGGTATTCATCCTAGTAACTTAATAATGATATCTAAAAGCAAAACTATATCTCAACATTTACTAGAAAACAGATGAAACTATAGTTTTAAAAGTTATTCCTTACAAAATAATCTCTTTAAAATATAAAATGATAAACACCATCACAAAATAGTTGAATAGCTTCTTTCACATCTTCAATGTTGCAAAGATCCAAAAGGCACATGGAGCTCATGAGTTAAGTATTGTTAAGCTTGAAGTGACTTTGGTGGGTTTCTCTGAGTCCACATGAAATGAAAGCCAATATTAAGTTTCTCAGGGGGATTCATCTGCTGAACACCTACAATATTAAGAAAAACTTATATTGATATACAACTATGCATGTTTATATTTCACATCTGTATGAAATCTACAATAAAGAAACAGATTCAACAAAGTAAATCATTTACCATTGAATCCTAACATGTAGATGTTAAAAATTTAAAGTTCAAAAATCCCTTCCACATTTGATTTTACAACTGGCAGTTGATTTTTTTTACAAATTGGAAAACAGGGAGGAGTTTTCCATTAAAACCTAAGGAGTTTTAGGTTATAAGTACAAGTAGGTTTTATCAGATCTAAAGATCTATAAGTGTGTATGCTTTTATAGGCTTTATAGTTTGTTCCTACTTGATGCCAGTGATACAAAGAAATATAAAGATGCAACAAGAAGCGATATAATGCGATTAAGGCTAAAATTAGTATTCCCTCATAACGTACTTGAGCTAAGGAGTTGTGTATTTGCACAAAAGCCTTGTTCAAAAGAGCATTTAAAAATTAAATGGAAGGACTGTGTTGAATGTTAAAAAAAATTAAATCAACAGGTTAAGTCACAATATAGAAACTAAAATTAATTATAAGGAACATTTATAGCCTTCATTGAGTTCCTCTACCTAAAATCCTTTCCTTATTTTTTTATGGGGATTAAATTTATGGATTTTAGCACTGGAAACTGTAAATAGTGGTGTAATGAGAGTAGTGGCAAAAATGAATGCATTCCTAAACCATGTTTACAAGGGCCCAGATAAAAATACATTCCATACATAATCTTTTGTCTAGACTTCATCTAGCAGGGAAAGTGGGGGGGGGGGGCATAAAATTACTTTGTAATGCCTGAAGATAATAATTCTAAAAGCTAATGTTTAAAATGGGCAACAAGCAAAAAACTTTTTTGAAATTTAATTCAGTTTATTGTGGCAACATTGGTTAATAAAATTAAGCAAAAACAATCAAACAAGCAAACAAACAAACAAATAACAACCACACAAGGACTTCATAGGCACAGGCAATAGCATGGTGATTACCAGAGGAAAAGGGGGTAGGAGGGAGGTAGAAGAGAGTATAAGGGGAATAAATGGTGATGGAAGGAGATTTGACATGGGGTGGAGAACACATAACACAATAGACAGTTCATGCATTATAGAATAAAAGAGTTTTTAAGCATACGACTATAAAAAAGTGATTTTGTAAGGAACAATTTAAATAATTGAATCAAGGTAATTATATTGCATTATAAATTAACATCCAACAGAAAATGTCAAAAGAGTTTTGGGTTTTTTTTTAATGACATTTCAAACTTACTTTTGAAATTTTTCAATTAATTTCTTCACCATTTTATCTGTGATGCCAGGACAGGCGGCTTCAGCCACAGCAATACTTTTCTCGAGTTCTTCAATTGCCTGATTCCTACTAGCATTATTCTCATCCTGCTGTTTAAGCTGAAAAAGAACAATAGCTATAATATTTAAAATTACTGTATTT